GAAATAAATACAAACACTGAGAACTGCCAGGCAAGTGAAGTTATTTTTACTTTAATAAGAGAAATAGGCATGCTAGACTAAATTTGGCTTTAAAACAAAAGCTTTTAGAAAATAAAAAATAAAGGCAACCCTGATGCTCTAGGTCTCCTTGCCTAAGTAGAACAGAAATCTCCTAACTTTAGGATATAAGAGGAGAACTGCAACACAAAAAATTGGTTTGAGGTTGAAGTCTTTTGAGGTTTTTTTTAGGAGGAAATATGCCAAGGTGGTTTAAAATGAAGGACACTGGAATTACACTGAATTCTACGTCCTTCCTCTGCATACCACTATGAGAACTTGGGCAGCCTCTATTGCATTAGCCTAAACCTTGGTTCTGCATCAGTACACTGGGTATGATAACTGTACTGACCAAAATGGTTTGTAATGTGAATTAGATGAGATAAAATATGTCAAGTGCTTAAAGAATGGTTAGTGCCAGGCGCTGTGGTGCACACCTGTAATCCCAGCAACTCGGGAGGCTGAGGCAGCAGAATTGCAAGTTTGAGACCAGCCTCAGCAATTCAGCAAGGTCCTAAGCAATTTAGTGAAACTCTATCTCGAAATAAAAAAATAGTAACTTAGTGAAACTCTATCTCAAAATAAAAAATAGCAACTTAGTGAAACTCTATCTCAAAATAAAAAAAAAAGGGCTAGGGATGTAGCTCAGTGGTAAAGTATCACTGAGTTCAATCTTCAGTATCAAAAAGAACTTTTTAAACGACCGGCTTACAGAAGGTACTCAATAAATATTAACTATTCAATGAGTCATTAAAAGGAAGACCCCTTGAGATGACTAAAAACAGAAAGAAGTCTTATATTGAAAGATATAAGACTATCATTTTGGCAAACATACAGAAAAGCAATAATGAGATTAGAGAAATTAAGCAATTTGACCAGGATCACACAGTTATTTCTTAAATCTAAAATTTTACCTTCCTTTAATGCAGGACCAGCATTCCCCAATGCTACAGCATTCATCTAGTATCTGATAATTTACTCGCATTGACTAAATATAATTTCTTTGTTAGCAATTGGTTTTTATGGCAAAATTTTGGTGAAAGTAGTATATTCTGTACATTGCTATGGCAGTTTAAAAAACTAGTAGTATTTTTAAAGTTTGACTTTTAAGCTCCTTTCCTCCCTACTTTCAGAAGTTTTAACTTAAGGAAAAAAGTCTAAAAGAAAAATTCTAATCATAGAAGTGCTCAAAACCACATTTCTTGGAGTACTGAAAAATAGAAAATAATCTACACATTCAGCAATATAACAGCAGTGAAATATGATAGGACCATGAGTTATGGAACTATTTTATTATAAAGACAGTTTGGGGATGTTGCTCTGTGATGGAGCCTTTGCCCAGCAGGCACAAGGTCCTGGGTTCCATCCTGAGCACTGAAAAGTAATGTGTGTGTGTGTGTGTGTGTGTAATAAAAACACAAGAGAAACATGACAAATATTGATTTCATTCCTTATCGTTCCAAAAGTAGGCAATTAGACAAGTAGAATGAAATAATAATTGTATTTTATCATAATTATAACCAATTAAAAATTAAGTATTTATATGGATGAAATTCAAAAGATAAAATTTTAAAACAAAGTGATTTTATGAGCACTTAGTTTAGAAATGCCTTTTTCCTTCCTTTTCCCTGTTAATAATACTGATACAATAAAAAAAATGTTTAGAATAAATGAACTTCTTTACTTTTTTTCTTTTCTTTTTGCATACTGGGGATTGAACCCAGGTCCTCACCCATGCTAGGCAAGCATTCTATCACTGAGCTATATCTTCAGTCCTTTTAAAAATGTTTATTTTGATACAAGGTCTCACTAAGTTGCCCAGGCTGGCCTTGAACTTGAGATCCTTCTGCTTCAGCCCTCTGAGTTTCTGGGATAATAGGTGTACACCACTATGCCTGGCTTGTTTCTTTACTTTATTGGTACTGAAAAAGTTTACATGATCCACGGATCCTTTAATAGCATGATAGCATGTATAATAAAATGAAAGACATAAGGTCAAAACCTTCATCATACAATGAACTCTGAGGGACATGACAATATGTATCAGTCTTTAACCTCCCAGAACTTGTGAGTCAGTAGAGGAAATATGAACAGTCATCCCTTGTTCCCTGGGAGGATATCAAAATTTGGAGATGCTCAAGTATCTTATAGAAAATGGCACAGTAACTGCATATAACCTATGCACATTCTCATCTCTAGATTTTTAATAATATCTAATGGAATGCAAATGGTTGGCATACTATATTGTTTGGAGAGTAATAACAAGATAAAACTATACATGTTCAGTACAGACACAATATTTTCAATCTAAAATTCAATGAATCTGCAGATGTGAATCTGAGAACACACAGGCCTCAGCACTGCTTCACCTCCAAAATCTTTAATATCCATCTCATACCAGTGCTCTTTCCCTTCCAGCTTTTATGCCCCTTGCCCACTCACGTCACCAGCCTACTGGTCACATTGTTTTCTTCTAAGCCACCAGCTTAGTTTCATTTTCTTTGTCATTGGGCTTACATACTAAGATCTGTCACTTGAGCCATCACTCCACAGGACACAATGTCTTGAAGCTTTATGCTTCCAATCCACCTGCCCTGAAAACCCTTATAAGCTGGGTTTGTTCAGACATTTGCTGTCTCCAGTCTGAGCTGTAGGATTCCCCTAGATCAAATTGCCAGTATCCCTTTATGTATCCCTGGCTGGTTCCTTCTCCCAGTCCTCCTCCTCTCAGTGCTTCCTACAGCCTATGCTTCCTTACCATCATCCCCTCTGCCACACCCTTCAGCTATGATGTGCTTGGACCCAAAGCAATGAAGTTATTGATCATGGATTGAACTTCTGAAAACCATGAGTCCAGGGCTAGGGATGTGGCTCAAGCGGTAGTGCGCTCGCCTGGCATGCGTGCGGCCCGGGTTTGATCCTCAGCACTACATACAAACAAAGATGTTGTGTCCGCCGATAACTAAGAAAATAAATATTAAAATTCTCTCTCTCTTAAAAAAAAACTTTATTAAAAAAAAAAAACAAAACCATGAGTCCAGAATAAATTTTCCTCCTCTAAGTTGCTCATGTCAGGTCTTTTAGTCACAGCAATAAAAAGTTGACTAACACTCCTACTCCATCACCCTAAATGCTCCCACAGAAATCAAAGTCAATGGCTCTTTCTTATTTCTTATCTTACTTGAACCCTCAGTTAATGTGCTTAAAAATCCTGTTGACCATTCTCTGTCTTGAAATACTCTTCTCTTTTTTACTTTGGAACTTTGCATTACCCTAATTTGTGGAATGAATAAACTAATGCCTTTAGGTACGAGGGAGAGGAGAAAAGAAAGACAGGCACTGAGCTGGACAGGAAGGTTTATACTTTTAGGGGTGTGGTGGCCATGCAGTTGGTGGACTTAGGATCTGCTAGATAAAGTTGTAAGAATTGAATTCCTTCTTGGAGACTGTATCAAGCAAACTGGCAATTCAGTGATATAAGGTGGGTAGAACTGTTCATTATTTTATCTTATTGACAGCAACAACAAAAAAGGTGAAATGGAGAATGAATCGTATTATGAGAAATTATTGACAATGTTGGATTTTCTTTCTTAGAGTATAAGAAGTGAGATTCAAGTCACTTGGCTTTCCCTCAGTATTCTCTAGTTGCTAAAGCTTCCAATCTGCACTCATTCAGCAAAACAGAATCAATTTTCCATTATTAAAATGATACTAGTTTTTAATTTTAGTGTGACTCATGTAAAGCAAAATTTGGCTATACACTTTGATTATACACTGGCTATTGGCTACTTTGATTGTTTCTCACTCCTAAGCAATATATACTTATATTATTTATATACTATCAGACTGCAAATGCTTTGAGGTCCAGGATCCTTTTCAGTCTAATTTTCTTCTGTCTTGTGCATTGTCCAGCACTGGGAAGATGCATTTAAAGAAAAAAAATCCTATTGTTTAATGAAGATTTTTAACTTTCCAAGTTTCAATGGATTTTGACTAATTCCTGAATGCAATTTATTATACTAGGTATGGAAGTACTATAGAGAAAACATTTAAGTTATTTGAATTTTATGGACTAGAGGAGAAGTATGAACACTTCACTACCTAGGAAGGATGTAACACAAAATGAAATGGCCCCTGACCCCCAAGTGTGTGTTGTACCAACCTAGACACAAAAGCCAAAATCCCAGGCAAGCCTCAGAGTTAATTAGAGTTCTTATATATCCATAAATCCTTGTAGTTAGTTCCTCCTTAGGCCAAACATTCCAAACGTCCTTGACTGTGGATAGCAGCTAGGACCTTGGATCAGGCCTTTCTCCAGTCACACAAATAATCTGAAAAGAAAAAGAAATCACATGTGGTCCTGCTCATTTTTTTCCCTGGTGGTTTTTTCCACCAGCTAGAAAGATATTTAAAGGCTGTGAACCTCTCCAGTCTTTTTCAAGGGTCATTTTATTTTTAGAGAACTTTCCACCTTTCCTAGTTACACAGCCAGATTGGGGCATCTGGCCAGAAAATCATTTTCCCTTAAAAAAAAAAACAAAAAAAAAAACTAGAATTTGAATGCAGGTGTTGAACGTGAAACAGATTTGCCATAGCTTAATTCCCTGGGCTCTACAATTTGTGGCTGGAAACTGAGTGAAAGTTAACCTACAAAGACATAAGGATCTACAGTCACCCCTCCTCCTAAATATAAAGGGATTACAACCTGAGATCTTCCAGCCTCAGGCACCATGGTGCAATCTCTCAGTGCAACTTTCTGCTCCAGGCTGATGCGCTTGTGATTTCAGGAAAACTGGCTCAGGACTTGTAATCAACCTGAAATGCGGAAGGGAAGGTGGTACCTAAGCAAGGTATGAACCACTCAGAAGCAGCCTGAGGCCGCCACTCACCTCGGGAGAGGAGGAGCAGGCGCCGGGACAAAGCTCGACGGAGAGGAAACGCGAGCCTGGGCCAGCCAGGTGGGGTGGGGAACGCCCGCCCGCTCACCTCGGAAGGGGCGGGGCGCGGCTCCCGGTTCCCCGCTGGGGCGGAGCGGGCCCGAAGCACCTGGGGTGCGGCGGAGCTGAGAGGTCTGGTCCTGGAACCTGGAACTCAGACTCACCTGTGTGAGTCTGACGGAGACGGAGGCGGGGCCGGAGCCAAAACTCACCTGAGCAGGCGGGAAACCGGATCGGGCAGTAGCCCTCTGGCTAGCCCAGCGCCGAGAGGGAGGAGCCCCGCGGCTGGCCCCACCTGAGCGACCCTTCTCTGGTCGGTTCGTCGCTCCCTGCGCGGCCGCCATGACCTGGAGCGCCACGGCCCGGGGCGCCCACCAGCCGGACAACACCGCGTTCACGCAGCAGCGCCTCCCGGCCTGGCAGCCGCTGCTGTCCGCCAGCATCACGCTACCGCTCTTCTTTTGCGCGGGCCTGGCCTTCATCGGCCTGGGCCTGGGCCTCTACTACTCTTCCAACGGCATCAAGGAGCTCGAGTACGACTACACTGGCGACCCAGGTACCGGCAACTGCTCTGTGTGCGCTGCCGAAGGCCAGGGCCGCGCGCCGGCGCCTAATTGCTCGTGCGCCTGGTACTTCTCGCTGCCCGAGCTCTTCCCGGGCCCCGTCTACCTCTACTATGAGCTGACCAACTTCTACCAGAACAACCGCCGCTATGGCGTGTCCCGCGACGACGCGCAGCTGAGCGGGCTGCCGAGCGCGTTGCACAACCCGGTCAACGAGTGCGCCCCCTACCAGTTCAGCGCGACCGGCCTGCCCATCGCGCCCTGCGGCGCCATCGCCAACAGCCTCTTCAATGACTCCTTCTCGCTGTGGCACCAGCGCCGGCCAGGCGGACCCTACGTCGAGGTGCCACTCGATCGCGCCGCCATCGCCTGGTGGACCGACTACCACGTCAAGTTCCACAACCCGCCGCTGGTGAATGGCAGCCTGGCGCTGGCCTTCCGCGGCACGGCGCCCCCGCCCAACTGGCACCGGCCGGTGTACGAGCTCAGCCCCGACCCCAACAACACGGGCTTCATCAACCAGGACTTCGTGGTGTGGATGCGCACCGCGGCGCTGCCCACGTTCCGCAAGCTGTACGCGCGCATCCGCCAGGGCAACTACACCGCAGGGCTGCCCCGGGGCGCCTACCGCGTCAACATCACTTACAACTACCCAGTGCGCGTCTTCGGCGGCCACAAGCTCATCATCTTCAGCAATATCTCGTGGATGGGTGGCAAGAATCCTTTCCTGGGTATCGCCTATCTGGTGGTCGGCTCCCTCTGCATCCTCATGGGTTTTGTCATGCTGGTGGTCTACATTCGCTATCAGGACCAGAATGAGGAGGAGGACGACGACGAGTGATGTCTCCTTTCAAAAACCCCCTCCTGCTTCTTGCCAAAAGTCTTGTGGGCTGCTTTTGGCCCAATCTCAAGCTCATCTCACCTTGCCACCTGTTGTGGATGAGCGGCGCAGAGAAAGGAATTAACCTTTTTTTCCCCAGGGGCTGCAAGATTCCTGCTGGGGTGTTCGGGCTGCAGAGTGCAAATACTCCTTCATGATTTACTAAGCTGACAGTTCAGGTTCTTAAATTATGTAGCATTCCAGAGTGGAAAGAACCTCAGACACTCCTTGTTAACCTCTATCAGACCAAGGGATGAGACCTAGCGGTATTAAATAAATCATTAAGAGCAGGCAGCCAACAACTGGCTCCTGAGTTGCTTCCGGAGCTTTTGGCACTACAGTACAGGTGGTTTCTTTTTCTTTCTTTCTTTTTTTTTTTTTTTTTTTTTGGCAAGGGATCGGGGACGGCTGTAAGGTGGGATAGAGAGTGAGGCCCACTTATATCCTGCAGAGGCAAGGAGGGGTGAGGAGAACATACATTTTATAAATGTACGTAGATTAGGAGGCTCCAACCCCAGACATTCCAACACAGTAAGACTAGGTTGATCCCCTCCCTTGACGCTGCCTTTTAACAAGCTCCTCAGAAGATTCCTCAATTCCCTCGAATATGGGAGTCATCACACTGAACTAGGTTGGGCCTAAAGCGGTCACCTGAGTTCAGTTTTTCAGGAAGTAATTTGTTCCCAGGAGCAGTGACACTCAAAATGTTCAAGTTTGGTCTAGCACTCTTGTAAACAGTGGAAGCTCTCGATTTGTGGAATGAATGAACAAAATTGCTATCTCTAGAAAATGAGTTAGCATACATATGATGTCCACTCATTTACTGTTTGAGTGTAAAAACAAATTGCCATATACTGTGTAGAGACTTGAAAATGCCCGGCCAGTTTGTACAGCTCAGAGGGGATGTTTTAACCTTAGAATCGGAGAGCTGGAAGGAATATTAGAGGGAAAACAGATTCCCTAAAGTCACATCTGTGTCTCCTGACTTGCTCAGTCCTCTTTGTCATCTGAATTTCTCTTTCCATGCTTAAGGGGAAAAGGGGTGGGGTGCTAAATTTATTTTCTCAAATGAAACTTTTGTTTCTAATAATCATGTTTGGATAGAATGTTGAAGAAAAAAATCTTATACGAAAACTAGAATCTTAGGATTAATTTAAACCTTTGAGATCATGCTAAAATCATTCTGTTGACTATTGATTAACTAGAATAAACCAGTATGTTTAAATTTATTTTAAAAAGTAGCATATTTTTACTTAAAATTTTTATGGCAAAACAACTTAAACTGGCAAAAGTGATATATCATTAAAGATTTTATTGGCTGAGAGCAAATAGTTATTTGGCATTTGTCAGAACTCTCCAGGGCATGCTCTATTACAGCTATTCTCCAGCCAGTACTGTTTGTTCTGATTCCTTCAAGATAGTACAAGATCTTGAAGAATGTATTGTTTTTTGTAGTCAAATATTGAATTGTATTAAATAGTTCACATTGTTTTTATTATACTCTTCTAGTTCTTTGACAATTACTGATGGATGGACAGCATGCATGTATGTCATTGATATCTGCTTGGATATTCTGTCCCATTATTTTTGTATATATATACAAGAAATGCTTCAGTAATTCCAATGTGTTAGCTTCCCACCTTCTGAATGTGACACACTTTGATTGTCAAATCAATTATTGTGATTTTAGGCTGTGAAAACGTGTTCTTCTAGTAATTTTTATTTATCATCAATATTTGAGCAGTTCCCTAACCCAGTCCTCCTCTATGTTGGATAAGAGAATTTACAATTTTTCTGCCAAGTAGTTAAGAGAAAACATGTATTTTGCTTTTTAGAATAGTCTATTACTATACAGGTTTAAATTAGAGCACAAAACTTAAGATATTCTGATTAATGTTAATGAGTATAATTCCATGCCCTGTTTTCTGGGTTTTTGAAAGAGAATAAAGGTTATGTTTGTCTTTGTTATCAAGTTTGCTTAATTCTGTTGAACTATGATCTTAAAGGTACACACAGTACCAACCATTTTCCCCACTTGTTAATATTGGATTTATATTGCAACAAGAAAATCATCTTTCAGAATAAAGTTCCAAGTGAACTCAATCTTTCATTGTTAAGCTCCTAAAATAGAATTTGACTTATATCAATATCATGTACATGAATTAGATGATTCTCAACGATTATTTGAATTTGATAGATGTGATTGGCATTTTTAAAAAATATTTTTTAGTTACAGTTGAATACAAATGTCTTTATTTTATTTATTTTTATGTGGTGCCGAGGATTGAACCCAGGACTTTGTGCGTGCTAAGCAAGCACTCTACTACTGAGCCATGACCACCTCAGATGTGAGTGACATTTTAAAAATTTTAGTATTAGAAGTTATTAAAGAATGTGATAATAGTCTTGCTTCTACATTTTACTCAAATCATGAAATGCAATCGTTTTTTTGTGTGTATTTGGGACTACAAAGCAGCAGAAACTTTTAAGAGTACAACAGTCTAGAGGGTTGGGGCTATTACTCAGTGCTAGAGTACTTGTCTAGCACTCATGAAGCCCTGGGATTCATCCCCAGCACTACAAAATAAGTAAATAAATAATTTTTAGAAATGCAGTTATCTCTGTACCATATAGCATTTTGTCTGGTACTTCAGGGCTCTGATTGGGATTGAATTTCCATGTTGCCCAGTAAACATTCCCTAGCCACAGGTATGTTTTCTAAGAATGAGTTAGAAAAGAGTGAACTTCACAATTGGACTGGAGATGAGCTTTGACCTACCTTGTAAAATAAAAGTACAAGCAGAAGAGAGTAAAGTAGTCAGTGAGAAATCCCAAAACAGAATCAAATCAACTAAACAATTTGCAGGCTACACAATTGTTAGAAATCAAAGACAGGCTGGTCAGTGATATACTCCTGTACTCTCAGCAATTTGGGAGACTGAAGCAGGATGATCACAAGTTATAGGCTAGCCTCAGCAACTTACTGAGACCCTGTGTTAAAATAAAAATTTTTTAAAAGGCCCGAGGATGAAGCTTACTGGTAGAGTACTTCCCTAGCATGTGAGGCCCTGGTTTTAAGCCTCAGTATAAATAAATAAATAAATATCAGCAAATACACACACACATATCCATATATGTGTATATATGGATATACACTCACTTTTCAGTTTGCCCTCTTCACGTCATTGGTGACCTCAATAATCTTGGATAGCTCTAATAACTTCTCAAGAGAGGTTTGTTGATAGAGCCACAATGTCATCAACCAGTTTCACATAAACCCTTGGGAGCAAGTCATCAGTTAATATAATAAAAATAAATTCTCTCTTCCTTTATTTTTATTGGACATTTCTTTGCACCCCAAGTTTATTACATTTTTTCTTTACATAAAAATTTAGTTAATTTTAGATGGCGATTTTTAAAAATTAACTTTATTATTATTTTCTCTAGGAGACTTCTCTTATTTCCCCTCCAACAAAAACAGGGTTGTTTTTAAAGAGTCATTAAAAAGGTCTTAGCAAATCTGACTGAAACACATTAAGGTCCCAAAGAGATCTGACATGACAGCAGCACTTTATAAAGAATTTGCAAAATTTCTAACAATTTTCTAATTATTGATGCTATGTGTACAGGTGTCCTCCATGATTTTCCTGATAAGAATAAAAATGTGTATTCAGGAAAAAATATTTCCTTGCTGCTTCGCCACCTTGTGTTAGAAGGGTCATTATTAGTGATCCTCATGTCAATTAGGTCATTGGACCAGGCCAGCATTCCTTTATTTAAAGTACCTGGCCAGGTGCAGTAGTGCAGGCCTGTAATCCTAACAGCTCAGGAGGCCAAGGCAGGAGGATCACAGGTTCAAAGTCAGCCTTAGGAATTTAGCATGGCCCTAAGCAACTTAGCAAGACTCCTATCTCACACTAAATAAATAAATAAGGTGCTGAGGTTATAGCTCCGTGATTAAGCACCTCTGAATTCAATTCCCAGTACCCCCCCCCCCAAAAAAAAAGGTACCTGGCTGTCCCAGCTCACATGGGACAGAGAAAAGTCCTAAGGTGATAGAATCAAACATAGGCAGTTTAGACACTTTAGAGGCTTTAGAAAGGAGAGGAAGAATAAAAGGGGAAGATGCACAAGGCATTTTTCTAGGCCGAAGGGTACCTAGAAGGTGAGGGATAGGCTGCTAAGGAAACCCATCCCGGAGGGCAGGGCTCACCAGCTGGACTCTGATGAAAAGGCTTTCAGAAATTCGGTAAGTGGATAGTGGCTCACCTCCTTCTGAACCCCTCAGCTTGTCTTTTTGATCAATTTGAGTGTAATTTATCTTTTTCCTTAGAAGCAAAAGGTATTACTGTCAAGAACCTTAGCTAATAGACTTGCCCTCCACATGGATCTCTTAACTGAGTTCCCATTAAAGTGGATGAAACCTTACATTACTGATGAAAACTGTAAATGATGTGTCATTAATAATGATACTTTGTTCTTCTAAAAGCCCTTTGTTCAGAAAGTCCAAGGTGCTTAACACTATGTGGTCTCATTAATCTTATCCATCAAAACTCATGAGTTTTAGACAGTCCTCAAAACCAGCAAATGAGGTAGAAAGAGATTCCTTCCTATTTTGCTCAGCTTTATTCAAAATGCCATAAAAATATGTGGTATTCTAAAAACCAACCAAAAGCTTAACTTCTGGATGAAGCAGTGTGTCCTTGAAATGAAACACTTGAGTATTTTTAAAGGAAGACTGGATTGGTTTCTTGTTATGGTTTTAGTAAGTAAAAACACATTTCCCATTTAAAAAAAATATTTTTTTAATATATTGTTTAGTTGTTGATAGATCTTTATTTTATTTATTTATATGTGGTGCTGAGAATCGAACCCCGTGCCTCACACATGCCAGGCAAGTGTGCTACTGCTGAGCCTCAGACCCAGCCCCACATTTTCCATTTCTGATAAAACACCCAATATGGGAGATGCAACATTTCCTCTTCATATTAAGTGATAGAATGTAAAATATTCTTTTCCTTTCTCCTTTTTTCCTACAAGTCTTTGAGGATTAAGACTTATGTGTTATTTCAACATAATTTTTTCTAACAACTGAACTATGGTATTTCTCAAGTGTTTCTTAATGCAGCAAATTATTTCATGTACTCATTTTTATGAATCTTTAAAAACATTACTGAATATACATAATAAGTGGCAACTCTTCTTGTCTCTAGCCCTGTTGTCTCTTTAAATTCACATTTTCCAGGCTGGAGATGTGGCTCAAGCAGTAGCGCGCTCGCCTGGCATGCGTGCGGCCTGGGTTCAATCCTCAGCACCACATACAAACAAAGATGTTGTGTCTGCCAAAAACTAAAAAAAATAAATATTAAAAAAAATCTCTCTCTCTCCTCACACTCTCTCTTTAAAAATAAATAAATTCACATTTTCCAACCACCTCTTGGACACATTTGAATGTCCTGCAGACACCACATATTCTTGGAAGTCAGTACTAATCTCAGTGGCCTCTCCTCCAAATCCATCCTTCCACGTATGGTACCAGATGCTTAAAATGACTCCTCCTTCCCCAGAATCACTCAAGCCAAAAACCTGAAATGCCTGATTGACTCCTTCCTCTGTTTCTTCCTGCATCCAACTGTTTTGACGTTCTGTTGCTTCAACATTCCAAAACACTTTTAATCAAGTTCCTCTTAATCACTCTTCTGGCCCAGGGCTTTGTTATTTCTCATTCGAAGGTTGGAGGAGCCTCTTAACTGGTTTCCAGTTGATTCTCTAATCACAGCTACAATGAACTACCAAAACACAAACCTCACCATGGCACCCCTCTACTTAAAATTACTCATGTCTATGTTCAGCCTACAGGAGGAAGTCTAGACTCCTGAGAAGGAAGCATGGTCTTTTTCCAAATCTTCATGCATTTTTTCTTTAACACCCCACCAAATTCTGGCCACGCTGAATAACTAAATAACACCAGAACACAATGTCTCCTCATGTCCTTGCTTGCACTGGTCTTGCCCATTCACCTGACCACACAATTCTACTCATTCATTCTTTCTTGAGGCTTGGCTCAATGCTCACATCCTCTGTGACACCCCTCTGCAAAGCCTTCTTGTGTCTTTTACTTCCTGACTTCAGCCTCTTCTACTTCGTGTTCTTAGCCTAGTCCTCCCCAGTACTTATTTTATTCCTCTCTTAAAGCACTCACCACTCTGCCAAATTGATTATCTCTATAACCATCTCCATATTCAGACTGTGAATTCTTCAGGATCTGAGATTTTTCTTTCTCATTCATTTTTATTATTGCCAATACTGAGTGCCATGACTGATGCATGGTCAATCCTCAAACATTTATTGAATGACAATTAGGAAACTGATGATTCTCTTACTTCCCTACCACTGAAAATCTTGTTTTTCACAGTATAGTTCATTGCATAGGAAAAAATTCAGGAAGCATACAAGAAGTAGAGATGGCACTCCAAATGTTTGAAAATTTTAGAATATGGACTGCTGGGAATGTTCATATATTCTCAACAGCAAGGAAACACTAAGCTTAGAGTTCCCATCTGGATAACTAAATGTACAATCATGGTTTCCTCCATAAACTAATTTGCAGAAATGAATAGCAGATGGGTTACATTAGTCCATTGATAGTGGGGATAGTTACTTTATGCTCAAAGGTAATCAATGTCTTTCCTATTAAACTGCAGTATGTTAATGGAATGTTTACATTTTTGTGGTGCTTCTTTATAGAGGAGCACTGTACTATTCTATAAAATGTAAATGAACATTGCTTTCCACTGCTGGGTAATTACTCCAGGATCCATTTAAACAAAAATACCATTGTAGAGAAATAACTACAAAGAAAGGCAAAAGTGGATGGAATAGCAGTTGTCCCATTTGCTGGCTGGTGTTTGGTTTATAACATTTGGCACATCTTGATATCTACATAATAGTAGTTTTAAAACCATAAA